CTCATGCTAGCATTGTTTAAGTGTATAGCCTATACATCCTTATAATGCCTGATGCTTTGTAATCTCCGAGACTCGACTATTTCAAAATATTTTTTAATCTCTATCGAACTGCGTTCAGCGTTTAACGAAGAAGACGTGACGACGTGCGTAGAATATAAAAGGTACGAGTATCTTTAAAACGTTTGTATCAAAGATGTAATAACAATCTTACAGGCTAGAATATGCATAAAAATGGTTAATCGAGTAAATATTTCAACGGCTTAACAACAATTCCACGAGTATCACGTTTGAACGGATGAAAGATCGGTATCGTGTTCTTCGTCTCGTCGCAAGTTCCTAATTGTACTATTATAACGTGAATTGTCCATCCAGACGAGATCGCGATACAAAGTTCCGTTTTAAGAACGCGAACACGTTGTCACTCTCACTCTCAAGAGAATGAAATAATGTCCGACGAGTATGATTAAAAAAACGACGTTGAAAAAATAGTAAATGAGTACGGCTTGAGGTTAAAGTTTGCGTAGCGTAAGTAAGGGGAAAAAATACGATTGATAGAACATTGATGAGCGTGCTCTCTTCACCGAGAGAAATTCTTCTTTCCAATATCTCTTATTATCGGCCGTGTTCAATTCCTCACGGACCCAACCCTATATCACGGAGTAATCCTCGACCAGTATCTCGCCGAAGTGAGTTATCACGTAATCGTGATAATACATCATTATGCAGAGAGGTTGTCCAATAATGAGACTCGCCCACACCGTGATATTGCCACATCTGGCGCCCCAGTGCTTCTCCACTTTCTTACTTAACATTGATAATGGTATCTAGAAAATCAATTAAAAAAGTTTGTGGAGCCACGGAGCGCTGCTGCAAATTAATATTAATCCTTCATTTCGGGAGAGATCCCCGCCGCGAAAGAAACTTCCGAAGGATCGGAACATTTAATATGGTCGAGGGGAATAAAGAATTTCTTTAGTTATTTCCGTGATCGAATATTTAACGAAGAAATTGCTTGATTAAAGTTTCTTTTAACCATTTCAATACAGCGAACAGCCGGGGATGAAAAATCCATTAAACGCTTATCAGTCATTCAAATAAAATTTGCGATAGAGCTACTCCGTCGAATCGATTGACATTGTCGAAAATACCGAAATATTATGACAATCGTTCTATCATAAAGACCTTTTTTTTATGCATTTTAAATAAATCATACCTGACCCATCATTCCCATGAACGCCCATGTTTTGAACGTCCTCAATGGCACGCTGACGAGGTACTCATGGAAGAATGCGCTGATGAAGAATACGGTGATAGATGCGGTCGACTTCCTGTATCCCATTTCTATGATGGGAATATACAAGTGTCTGGAACCAAATTGCAACAGAAAAAAATTCAGACGTATCGCGATTAATCGGGAGGAATTATGTGAGTGCTTAATAGAAAAGATCGGCCGTTCTCCGGCTCGTTTCCCTCGACGATTCTAAACGTAGGGAAATACACGGGAGAACGTTTTCCTCGCCTGTGGTGTCGCGGTCCTATTACTACGTTGTAGGTACCGCGAAGTAACGCAGCCGAGCGTAAACGGGGAAAAAGAAGCGTAGATAAGCAGCGCCGCGTTTAAGGATCAGCGAGAGCGGAATCGTCTCGAAAAATTAAAGCAATGACCGTGCAAGTTCGCCGGAATGGCGACACTTCGGTGTATGCCAGTTCGCGATGGGAGAACCACCCAGAGGCAGGAAGAGATCGTTAGTAAGCTTGGTTATCAGTAGCCTTGCATTGGGAAGGAAGAAACCTTGGTAGCTGCGCGGCGGTGGGAGCGGGAGAAAAAATGTCGCAAAGAAGAACCGGAAGGAAGGAAGGAAGGAAATTCAAAGGTGGGACGCCGTCGTCAAGGACGGTTTCGTTGCCGCAAAGAGAATTCCTTTCTTTGAAGATCCACTGTCCTCGTCCCTCCGCGAAACAGCAACCTCCATCCTGTTCTCTGCCCTCGTCTCAATGCTTTAGTTCTTTTATGGTTCTCTCTTCAATTCATCTGTTTCTATCTTGCTTTCATTCCCCAACGTAGTTTCCGGTCGTTCATAGAGAAGACGCTTCGAAATATCTTTCAGTTATCGAGGCATTATAAGTGCCGCAGGGAATAAACAGCCTTAAGTGCGCGTATCGGCTTTTCCCATTACAAACCTGAAAAGACGCCGTCGTCGTCTTCGTCGACGGTCGTCCCTTCCTCCTTTCCCGTCGTCTGCGTCCCGTCTCCTCGTCTGCGCCCATCGTGCAGCTTTTTCTATTTTCACCTCTCCTACCTTTCCGACCTACCCCACACTCCCTTTCGTGCCGTGGTCGTATGGCTGCACGCCAGTTACAGCTAGCAATTGCAGCTGCATATCTCCGACGAAATGAAAAAAGAAAACGGAGAAGAACGCGAGGCTGGAAGCGCAGGTGCGGCCGGGAGGAGCGGAGGCAAATGGAGAGGCGAGAGAGGAAGAACGATGAAATTCGAGCCTCAGAGTCTCCGGCGACTCCGACGTTACCGGGTAGCAAAGCCGATTACTGTTTTTGCCAGGTTAATTACGCGGAATTGAGTTAATTGCAAGTTGATGAGATCCTCTCCCGATGGGTCCGCTTCTAATCGAGATGCTCGAGGTGTCTAAAACATCAATCTAATCGCGCGCTGCTCCACTGTCTTGTCAGATCTTCCACAACGTAGGTATATAGTAGGCTTTTTCCTACGGCCGGATCTGCCCCTTCCGGATCGGCGAAGAATAATCGTTTTCTCGTGTATCGTTCTCCCGCGAGAGATATCCATGGATTTTAAACCCTTTCTCGTACACGACGCAGCCACCCGTTTCCCGTGATCGTGCCAGCAAACAACTTTTCCACCGAAAGCAGTCACCCTTTTTCAAGGATTTAAACTTTCCGCGGTGCTACTTCCAAAGTAAAAACGTCGCAGCGACGGCGGTGCGCGGGTGCAAGAGTTGTTAGCGGCACGTGTACCGGCAAAACCGGCCGGAAAAGTGTTACGCCCTACGTCCTACGCGGAAAGTTTCACCGCAACTTTGCTAATTGTATTGAGCGAGCGATGCATAATCCAATGGAGCGATGACGGGAAAGATATATGACGATAAAAAGCTCGGATCAGGGAGCAAGCTTGTGCTTCTCTCAAGGTCTGCGCTTTATAAGATTTTTCGCGAAAGTTCATGAAACATTGGAAGTTAGAAATTTCACGGTAACGTTGAAGAACTTGAAAAATCGATGGATTTATAATCAAAATAGTTCTGATCAAATACAGATGCGAGACGCGTAACTTCATGATTTTATTCTTTCCTAGCTGTTGTCTAAAATTCTTCTCCAGATTTCATAGGACGATGCGTGGGAGTTAGTAATACGTTAAATAAATGAACAAAAAAGAGCGAAAGCAGCAAACAGCTCGCAGTAACAAAGTTGACGGTGTAAATGCATCTATGCATTAATACGCCGAAGTAAATGTTGAAATAGAAAATTTCATCGTGCAGAGACCGAGCAGGTAGTTCCATTTCGCGGCAGAATAGTTTTCAAACACGAGAAGCCGCGTCGGCCGACACCCTACCCAGTTACACGGGCATTAAAAGTACTACTTAGAGTGGAGGCAGTTATATATAGGAGGGAGGGAGAAAGGTGGGAGCACGGTGGAAGCTAAAACAATTAGCCGCGCAGCAGTTTCCACGGGGGTTAAAAGGGACGGCGGTCGGGCGGGGGCGTGTGCAGATGCCGTAGGGAGGGAAAGTCTCTGATTCACGGAAATTTCTCTTCCTTTTCGGATGCCAGACCCTGGTTCTGGCGAAAAATGTAATTAAATCTCCTTAAAGCGGGGCACACTCGTTAACGAAGTTTAGCCGCTTAGGCGGAAAGAAGCTCGATCAAAAGTACGACTCGCGGCTGATACCCGATTCCTTTTCCTTGCTTTTTTTCCTTCGACCGTACCCCTCATTCACGCCGACTATTCAGGCCGTGCGAAAAGTTACTTTCTATCGTTGCTTTGCCTACAGACGTGAGAAGGTAACTCGCTGATTCGGTTAAATTAGCTTAATGCGTTCATTTATTCGCGTTAGTAGTAATGGCGGATAATAATACATTATATTTAAGAAAAAAAAATGGCTTCTCACTTTGTTGCCAAGATACCCAATAGCAGATCGGAGATTGAAATTCTTGTTTCGATATGGAAAATTCACGATCTAACAACCAAATAAATCTACAGCTATCATAAACCTAATAACATTTGGCTAGTACTCTAACAACGAGAGTAAGTCAACTTAAGGATATATTGGCTATACAGTCAATTCCAAAAGTTTATGTACCTTAGAAAAACGCATTTCCTATAATTAAAAAGAAATCAGATGTCGGAAGAATAATG